TCTGCGCGGACGGCCCTGCCGCACGCTGGGACTCGGGCGTCTCCGCGGACACCGTCACCTGTGAGCGCTCCTTCTCCCAGGAGTCCGGCCAGGGTGCACGGGCGGTTGTGGGGTGACGGCGCAGCGCCAGCCGCCCATGTGTGCCCCGCGTTGTGGGGTCCAGCCCGGTGCCCACGGGAGAGGGCGGCGCCGCCCTGGACAGTGCAGGCCCTGCACGCTCGGCCCCTAACTGGAGCAGGTGCGCGGCTTGACCCGGGCGATGGGCTGGGGCTGGCGCTGTCTCCACCCCGCCCAGGAGACCCACCCGCGTGGGCTCTGCCGGTTGTGTGCCCGCCAGCTCCGGGCTGAGGAGTGTAACTCACGCTTCTCCTGCGTGCCAGGGCTGGGGCGCGACTCCGGCAGGAGCCTCAGCGGGAGTGACAGGACCTGCAGCTCTGTGTTTGAGGCCGGCGCGGGGCGCATTGGTGCCCCGGGTCTAGGAAGCACAGGTGGCTGCGTAGCCGGTATTTCTGCCCTCCCTGCTGCGTTCTCCACCTTCACCTTCCAACCCATGGTTCCTGCCTGGGAGCAGCGGCCCCACAAAGCATGGAAGCTGCGACTCGTAAAAACAGCCAGGGAAAGGACGCAAGGTGGCGGCAGTCTTCACCCAAACTGCTCTCCGTGCAGGCTTCCCAAGGGGCAGGAGAAAGCCTCAGGGTGGGTGCCCTTCTGAGGGGAGAGGTGGCTAACTCGGTGGGTGGGGAAGGGGGCTCTACACCCTCCAGAGTCCCAGTTAATGAGGGCTAGTTCTCAGGAATCCCTGAGACTCCGGCTGCAGTGCTGTCTGATTATATGTGCTGGGGGCAGGTGTGCCAGGGAGTGTGTTTCGAAACTACTGCGCCCTGATAGAGCCCCAGTGTCTCAGTCCCACCTGTCCTCTTCCCCCAGGCCAGCTGTCCTCCCAGGAAAGCAGCTCGAGGAGGCAGAATTGCCCGTTAACACTGAGTTCAGGTGATCAGCCTTTTGTTCATTGAACTCCATGTTTGTACAGCCTGCAGCTGTGTGCATATTTGCCTGACCCCAAATGTGCTCTGAGCAGCTCGTCCCCGACTCCTCACCAGGGTATGACAGGGCCGTGCAGGTCTGTCCCTCTGTGTGCCCACTCACCAGCCCTTTCCTGTGAGCTCTGCTTTTCTAAGAATCTGAGGGTACCCAAAAAAAGACCCTGGAGGTGATGCTGGTGCTTTATCTTATAGTCTGTTTTGGTAAGGGGGGGATTCATTTTGCGATAGAATCACATCTTTCCCAGAAGTCTGATTTTCAGAGCACAGCAAAAAGGGAGTTTGATTGTTTTGGTCAGTAAATGACGATGTTAGCTTCGTGAGGCATTTTGTTTTACTTCCTGTTTTCTGGCTTTGTTTTTGGTTTTTGCAGTACTGAGACTTGAACCCAGGGAGCCCTGAACTACCCCCCACCAACGCCCTACTGTTTTTAATTTTTCACTTGTAGACAAGGTCTTTCTAAATGGCCCGGGCTGTCCTCCAACTTGTGATCCCCCTGTCTCAGCCTCTGGAGGAGCTGGGACTATAGGCAGGTACCACACCTGCTTTGGTGAGCCTCACTGGGGAGGCTAAGGCAGGAGGATCGCTGAGAGTTTGAGGCCACCGGGGCTACATAGTCCAAGGCCAGCCTGAACTACACACAGTGAGATCTTGGTTCAAACAACAACAAAACAAAAGACCACCAATGTATAAACTCAGCTCCTGGAAGTCGGTCTCACTGGGCCAAACCAAGGCCAAACCAGTTGGAGGCCACACTGTGGTTTGGAGAAGCCCAGGAGCTGCCGGGGTCCCTGCCTTCCTGGCTTCAGGGCGAGCGGGTCCTTCTCCTGCTGGCTGGCTTGTCACCTCGTCCCTGTCTTCTGTGAACTCCCTGTGTCACGTACACAGGCCTGCAGGGCCGTTCTGGATGTTTTCTCAGCCCCACAGTGTCCAGCTGGCAAATGGGGCCCATCCACAGCCCCGGGCCCTGGGCCTTGGCTGTGGGATGCAGCACGTCCCCACCGCCCAGGATGCAGGTCTGGGTGTCCCGGAGTCAGCCCCTCCTGCCGAGGCTCTTCCACCAGTTTCCTTAGTGACCACTGAGTACTGCCTCCCCCACTTGTCATTTTTCCTTATTAAGCCCTTTTCATTGCGATTCCATTGTTATGTTATTTATAATGGGATGCTGGCAGGCAAGCAGCAAAAAAAAAAAAAAAATCACTTCCCTAAAGAGCTCACAAAGAATGTCAAAATTACCCCTAATTACACCATCCGCAGGTAATTACTGCTAATGCTTTCGTGTGCTTCTAACCCCCCACTTCCTGCCTGAGTGTGTGTGTCCTTTCTAGCTCTGAACCCTCACTGATGGTGCAAATGAGGTGGGCTGTCCAAACCACAGACCGAGAGAGCCTGCCCAGCTGCGGGTCACGTTATACCTGCACGTGTGGGGGTAGGGCAGCTTTGTCTTCTTTTGAAAAGCCCCTCACATATTAGAGGATTAGAGCTGCTTTGTTTGAAACTAAGCCCATGGTCACGTAAAAAGCACAGCCTTTCAGAGTTAGATTTCCTGTAATTGTGATGTTTGTTTCATAGAGCATGATGATAATCACGAATGCCTGGTACCTTAAAAACATTTACCATGCAAGTAACAACCGGAAGCCAGATAAAAAGTAAGACAAAAACAATAAGACAGCAGTCATTTCAAATGCTCACATAATTTGCTATTGGTACATGTTCACGGTGCTTGATGATTATTTACTGTGGGTATCTGTACATGGACAGAACACATCTTAATCTTTATCTCCTTCCCATTTGCAAAAACTCTTGTCTCCCTCTTTTCCATTATGGCTTGTATTTTGCTCTTGAACTCATTTCTACTTCAGGTTCCCACGCCGCACATAGGCTGTGTGAGTGCTCTCCGCGTGTGGCCCAGTCTCTCTGTGCTCCCATTTTGGCATCTGCTCAGCTCAGTGTTCGAGCCTGATTCCTAATACACAGTCACATCCCCGGCCCCTTTGCCTGTGCATCAGGAACATTCCTTCCATGTGTGTCCCAGAGCCATTTTTGCCAATTTTGTTAATTTCAAGGATCTTCACTCCTAACATCGGGCTCTGAGAGTAGTTTTTAGCTAGCATTCATGATATTGGCAGCTGGTTTAGGAAGCACATATTTTCTATAGGAAAGAAAAGGAAGGAGCACGCTTGATTTTTGTTTATAAACATAGGTTAAGGGATATGTAACGTTATTTTCATCCTTAACAGCTAATTTGTATTGACTAACACATTGTTTTAGGTATATTATATAAATAGCTGAGACAGTTGTCTCAGTAACCTTGTATGGTCATTGTAGTATCTTCATTGTAATTTTACTAGGAGGAAACAAACAGCAGGATTAGAAACCTTCAGAGTTGGGACAGGGATTTAGCTCAGTGGTGGTAGCACCTGACTCACAAGAACAAGGTCCTGAGTTCAATCCCCAGTACCAAAAAAACACCTTCAGAGCTCAGAAATACATACATCTTAAAAGTCACAGCCCTATGTTCTGTATTTCACCGAGACATCCCTGCCTACCCACACTATACATAATTTTGTTTTTCAGCACTGAGAATTGAACCCAGGGCCTTCACATTGAACCCAACCCCGATACTCTCCCCTTTTCTTTCCTCATGGGCTTGACTTTTTCATCCTCCTGCCTCAGCCTGTGAGAATGTGGCTGACAGGTATACACCACTACACCCAGCTCTAAAATTCACCTTCTTCGCTTGGTAATTCATTATAAACTCCTTCCCAATTAATGTGCCTCTGAGTAAATGTGTTATATGCCATTACAAACCATACCGTGATTTATTTATTCCATTCCTTACCATCAGATTTTTGTTTTATTTTGTTTTGTTTTTTGAGATAGTCTGACTGTAGTTCAGGCTGGCCTTTAACTCACTATGGAGCCCACGGTGACTTTCCACTGCTGGCAGTCCTGCTGCCTCTGCCTTCTGGATCCTGGGATTACAGGTATATGCCACCACAGCCGGCATTATTTCAGTTTTAATATTTTCCCTGGGAAATCTCAATAACATCGGTGAATTATGAAAATGTTACTCCTGGTTATGATACTGTACTATAATACAATAAATAACCAGTTGGCACGAACTGTGAAACACCGGAACTCTCAAATGATTCCTCGCTGCTTGCGACTCTGCAATTCTCTTAATTTAAAGACACCCCTGCCGGCTACAGTGACAAGATGAACCTGGGCATTTTACGGAGACCCTGTGTCACTGAAGTGGCATCGCGTGGCCCTGGGCTCAAGGCCAGTACAGGTAGGGGTGTGGGGTGCTGCTGGCAGGAAACAAAAGTTAGCAAATTAACCCCAATTAATATTTTCTGAAATCTTTCTACACGTTCAAGACTAAACGTTTTTACAAAGGAGAAGCATTCTCTGAGAGTCAGTCTGCTAATAAACGCCTGTCGTCGGTGCACGCTTAGCTGGCTGCCGGGGAGGGCGTCGGGTCCCTCCCCGTGGCGGTGGAGGTGAGCGCAGGGCAGCAAGTGCGCTTGCAGGTCCCTGTGGAGTGCAGGACTTACAGCTGTGTCCCCGCACTGTATTCTCGGGAGCCCCCGGCTGTGCGATCGAGTTTTGGGGGCCCCGAGGTGCACCGCCACCCTCTCTGTGCCCCACTGCCTGGACAAGTGCACGCCTTGCTCGTGGTTGGCGCCTCCGCTCGCGGGGCCGCGCACTGGCCGCGAACCGCACCTCCCAGGGGCCCCTGTGTGGCCTTCGCGTGCTGCATGCCGGGACAGGGGTCCTTGGGCTCGGTTTCCATGGAAACTGTCGCCACTGGAGCCCAGCTGGGACCCAGCGCAGGATGTAAGGGTATCAACGTCATCTACGGCCGAGAGAAATTCGGGTGTGCGCGCTCCGTGAGTGCGCGCGCGCACATACGTCCATTATGCGTGCGCATGCGCGCTGGGACTATTGCCTGGGACTGCTCTTTGGGACAGAGATGTGCGCGTGCGCCTTGCGCCTTGTCCCAGGCAGGGGTGATCAGAGCGCGCGTGTGATACTGATGCGTGGGAGAGTGTAGAGAAGTGTGTAGCACTGACGTGCCAAGCTAGGTCCTCATAACGGTGACGCACATTTGCAAGCAGCATCAGTGGGACTCAGGCGAGCAGCGAGCATTGGGCTGTTGCACCCAGCCGTTCGCAGAGCCGTGCCTAAGATCCCTGCGGGGGCCAAGGGGCGCCACAGGTTGCGAAGAGCACGGATGACGCTTGGCTCCCCGTGAGCCACAGGTGTGCGAGCATCCTCAGGTGCTGCGGCCGGCCGGCCCTGGAACGCGCGTGGCCCCGGGGTGGCGCTGACAGGTGGGATGACCGGGGCTGACCTGCTGGGCAGCGTCCTCTGGCGGGGCGCTGACGGCGTGACCGGGATGAGGAGTCCGGGACGGTGTGTAGCGTTGTGAGGCTGAGGCTGTGGCTGGCTTGGATTTGTTGGGGGGTTTTGGTTTTTTGGTTTTGGGGGGGGGGGGGTTGGTCCATTTTAGATGTACATAGTGATCACAATCATCATAGGGAATTGGTACCTGTTAGTGATATATCTTGCTTCTCTTTTCCCATTCCCCTCCCCTCCTTCCAATCTCTCTTCCTCTCCTTATTTACAAAAGCTTTGTTTCCATTTTTTTCCGTCTTTTTTTTTTTTTGGTCCCTTCTTTCCTATCTCTCTCTACCCTCCCTTGTTCTCCTTCTCATTTGCACATTTTCTTCCCATTTCCCAATATCTGTTATACATTTTGATCCTTATTTACACTATGAGTTTCTCACAGCGGAGAAACAATGCGGTATATACATATCTATGTCCAGTTTGTCTCACTTAAGAATATGGTCTCAAAGTGCATCCATTTAGCTATAAATGTATCAAGTCTATCCTTTGTGGCAGAGTAGCACTCCATTGTATTTAAAAAAAACAACTACAGGGCCAGGGATTTAGCTCAGTGGCACCCCACCTGCCTCGCAAGCTCAAGGTCCTGAGTTCGATCCCCAGTACCAAAAAAATAAAAAATAAAGAAAAGAACATTGGGGCCGGGGATTTAGCTCAGTGGTTTCGCTGCCTGCTGCGCAAGCACAAGGACCCAGTTTGATCCCTGGTACCAAAAAAAAAAAAAAAACACTACATCTTCTTTATCCTTTTGTCAGTTGATGGGCAATTGGGCTGTTTCCAAGATTTAGCTATTACAAATTGTACTGCTATAAACATGGGTTTGCATATATTGCTGTGGCATGATGCTTTTAATTCTTTCGGGAAGATACCAAGGGGAATAGCTGGATCAAATGGAACCTCTCATTTTAGTTTTTTTGAGGAATCTCCACCCTGATTTACACAGTGGTTGTACCAGTCTACACTCCCACCAGCAGTGGAGAAGGGTTTCTTTTTCCTCACAGCCCCTCCAGCATTTGCGGCTGGTTGATTCCTTGATAGCAGCTATTCTTTTTGGAGTGAGACGGAATCTCAGCATTGTTTTCATTTGCATCACTTAAATAACCAGTGATTTTGAACATTTTTTCATATATTTATTTGCCATTTGTACCTCCTCATCTGAGAAGTGTCTGTTCATTTCAGATGCCTATTTTTGGATTGGATTTTTTTTTTTCCTTGAGGCGGGGTCTCTCTTTGTAGTTCAAGCTGGCTCTGAACTCACTGTGTAGCCCAGGCTAGCCTCGGGCTTACGGCTATCGTCCTGCCTCTGGCTCTGGAGAGCTGGGATTATAGGCCTGTGCCACCACGCTGGGCTGGATTGGATCTTTACATTTGGGGGGTATGATTTTTTTTTTACTTCTTTTTATATTTTATATATTAGTCCTTTGAGGATCAGCTCACAAAATTTTTTTCCTACACTAGGTTGTCTCTTCACTGTGATGGTGGCTTCTTTTGCTATGCAAAAGCTTTTTAATAAGATGAGGTCCCAGTTGATTCTTTGTGATAGTTCCTGTGTGATTGAGGATTTGTTCATAAAGTGTTAGCCTACATCTATGGCCTCAAGAGTTCTACCTATTCTGTCTTCCAGCAGATTTCGTGTTTGTTTTAATATTTGGCTCTTTTTTACATTTCGTTTTCAGTTTAGTGCATGGTGAGTGATACGGGTTTAGTTTTAATCTGCAGCATGTGGAAAGCAAAGGAGTCTACAAGCCTTGCTTTGTAAAAGGTACCCAAGAGCCAGGGATGTAGCTCAGTGTGAAGAGGTGTCTAGTACACATGAGCCCTGAGCTCAATCCCCAGCACCACAATAAATAAATAAGTAAATGGATGGGTGGATGATGGATGCGTGAATGGGTGGGTGGGTGGATGATGGATGGATGGATGGATAATGGATGTGCAGTTTTCTTGATCGTCCATCATCACAGCTGACTCAGATGTCACTGCATGCTTTAGGTTATGTGATTTACACTTGACACAATCAGGCATAACAGTCTGTGTATCCCAGTGTGGCCACTGAGCAAGCACACACTGTAAGGTTAGCAGCAGTCACTCAGGGTTTCACACTGGGTGTCCTTAAGGGGCTCATCACCCAGACGTGATAGACTGATTGCTTGAGTGTTGATGCGGTTAATCTCATCTCCAGGTCAGCTAATACTATGAGTCCTCCTCGGAGTCACTGGGCTGGTTTTCCAGTGTGGATAGCCCACACCTGAAACAGAAAAAAGTCTTCCTGTGTGGAATGACACAGTCACCTTTCAGGATCATGGGACAGGGCCTGGACCTTTTTGGATAGGGCCAGATTCTTCACCACCTCCCAACCTTCTCCGACTCACCCCACAGGAGCTGGCCAGTCTTGCTGCTGGTGTTGGAATCTGTCTTCAACATAGAAATTGGTGAATAAAGGAAGGCACCTCTGCTCTGCTGTGTACAGCCAGCCCCCGGCGTTCTAGAAGAGCGTGGTTCTGTCCAGAATCCACAGTTCTTCCCAGGTGGATCTCTTATGGGGGGATCTCTGTGCGTGCGTGTGTGCATGTGTGTGTGTGTGTGTGTGTGTGTGTTGGCAAGCCAGGATAGAGGAGTGAAGTCACCCCAAGTCATTCAGGGGCCCACGGTGCGGCTGATCCAATGTCTCTCTTCCCACCTTTCCCACTCTGACCTCTCGGGTTTTGTCTCCTGCAGAGGAAACGCCAGGATAACAGACCCAGTCCTGAGAGTTGAGACCATGGCCCACGTAAGTACATGTCTCGTTCCTTCTTGAAATGGGATGGGCTTGTGGTGCCACTGTGAGTTCTCCAAAGCCGCCCACCTCTGGGGCCCCGACTTGTTACTTGTCCCAGGTCTCACTGTGCAGGGAGTGATGACCCTGAGACCCGCATCTGCCCCACAGCCGAGTAGATTATTCCGTCTCCTCTGAATGCTCAGGTTTTGTCCAGAGCAGTGATGGAGCGGTATCAGGGGAAATACCAAGTGAGTCGGGCCTGTGATGTGATGGGCTAGATGCCTCGGTCCTATGTGACCAGAGAAGATAGGCTGTCAGCTGCTTCTCTTTTCTGGTAGCTAAGAGGGAAGGATGTAGGTAAGAGGGGGTGTTCACATCTGTCTTCCTGTGTGTGGCTTTTAGAATTGGACAAAGTCAAGCCGGGCATGGTGGCGCATACCTGTAATCCCAGCACTCAGCAGGCTGAGGCAGGAGGATCACCATGAGTTCAAGGCCAGCCTCAGCTACATAGCAGGACCCTGTCTCAAGAAAACCAAAAGCTGGGGCCGGAGATTTAGCTCAGTGGTTCCACCGGCTGCCTCGAAAGCACAAGGTCCCGAGTTCTATCCCTGGTACCAAAAAAAATAATAAGAAGGGCTGAGGATTTAGCTCAGTGGTTCCGCTGCCTGCCTTGCAAGTGCCAAGACCCAAGTTTGATCCCTGGTACCAAAAAATAATAAGAAGAAGAAAACCAAAAGCAATTAAGATAAAAAAAATTTTAAATTGTCACTGAAGCAACCTGCCAGACCTCCGTAAGATTGTGAATCATTAGCATCCTCTCTCCATCAGGAACGAGGCAGGGAAGGGTGGAGAATGGGGACAGCAGAAGCATCACACAGTGCAGGGCGTATGGGGGCCCTGGTGGCCCCAGAATAGGTGACACCTCAGCTTTCTACCCAGGCTCTGTGTGGCCCTGTTGTACACTGAAGTCTGACTCAGCTGTCAGTGGGATGCCATTTTATTTTAATGCTTTACAAAGGAAGCCTAAGCTAGGTGTGGTCACGTTGCTTTTACAGTGGTGCCTCGGTTCTCGAACTTAATTCCTCCTATAACTCCGGGGATGATGGTTGCGGTTGAGTTGGTCACATGACACAGAGTTCACCGATGGAAGCAAAATCTTCTATTTGCGAACCAAATTGTTCACAAATAGAAGCATTCATGAACCGAAGCACCACTGAATCTCAGCTACTCTGGAAGCTGAGGCAGGAGGACTGGAAGTTCAAGGCCAGCTTGAGCAACATAGTGAGACCCTGTCTCAAAAATTGAAAGAGAAAGGAAGCCTGCTTAAAGAGTTATCTAGCATGATGATGAACTTGAAGCTTGGAAACATGCAAACCATGTCTTCTAAAATAAAACGTTACAAAAACCTCAGGACTTTTCTTCCCTGTAAAGGTGGGGGAGTACTACAGGAAACTCTGCCAGCAGACTCTGCGCTACATCCGGGCATTTCTGAACCACCGGGAGCCCGGAGCGCAGGTCGGTGTGCGGGCGGGCGCTGGGGCGGCAGCGTGGAGACGCCCGGGCTGGGCCGACGCTGCTGTGTCTCACCGGGAACCTGTGGGTTGTGTTCTAGGGCGTGCTGTCGTTCGCGGACGTGGCCCTGGTCTTCTCCCAGGAGGAGTGGGCGAGCCTGACCCCCGTCCAGAGGGACCTGTACTGGGACGTGATGCTGGAGAACTACAACAACCTGGTGTCCCTGGGTGAGCTGTCAGGGCCTGAAGCCCTTCCCAAGCCCAGCGAGGTCCCTGAAAGCCGGCATCCCTCCCCAGGCGCCCGTGGCCTCCCTGCCTCCGGGCTTCCGTGCAGTTCTGTCCTCCTCAAGGCCTCTGCGAATCGCACACTCGTCCCCCCGACCACGCTTGGCGCCTCTGTGATGTTTGCATTCAGGTTGCAGTTGACGCGCTCCGCGACCGTGGGAACCCCGCTTTTGTAGAAACCATCTCGGTGCAGGGCCCTGGTTTGCTCAAGTGACAGAGTGGACTGGACGGACAAAATTCCCCAGAGGGCAAAGCGAGCAGATGGTTTCACTGAGGCTGAGGAGTCTGTGAGCTTTGTGTTAGACACTGAGTGGCAGCACTTTCACTATCTCGGGAACTTTGGTGTGAGTGGGTAAGGTGGGGCCACTCTGCCTGTCTGGAGGACTCTGCAGCAGCTTCTCTGTATTTATCTTCCCGGGGCCCCGCTGCCTGCCCGGGCTCTGCTGATGCCTCAGCGCCCACGGAGGCCCGTGCCTGCGCCTTCCCCTGGGGGCCTCCCGCACCTTCGCCGTGGGTCTGGGCCGGGCCAGCTCCTCACTGAAGTCCTGCACAGTCTTTCTGATTTCAGTCTTGTACAGTCTTTTCAGTCTTGATTATTGTTTTCGTGGCTTTTGCATATGGGTCTTGCCCCATAGGCAGATTTTAATTACATCACTGATACCCATAGCACAAACATCAGCTCCAGATTTTCCTATTTTTTTGTGGCTCTGGGAAATCGGCCCGCCTCCTCACACACAGTAGGCGGGTGCTCCACCCCCAGCTCCACCCCAGTCCTAGCCCTTGATTTTTAATTGTACATAACAAATGCACACGTGTATAGGATATGGTGCGATTGAATTTTAGTAGTTATGACTGCATTTCTCGTGCAGTGTTGGTACATGCACCTAACACACCTTAATTCTTCTTCCACTCCCTTCCCATTTTGTGCTGTCCTTTCCATTGGCAAAAGATCTATCTCCATGTTTCCTGTTACCTTCCATTTTGCTCTTTAATTCTACTTTGCACTTCTCGTGTGAGACGCCATGCAGTGTGAGGGATATTTTGATACACGTGACGGTGACAGTCGGCTGGGGTGGCAGCGGTTCTCTCTCTCCAACACTCATCCCTCCTGTGGTCAGATCATTCGAATCCTCCCTTCCATTTTGAAGCATACAATAAATTCCTAACTGTGGCCTCCCTGCTGTGCTGTGGACACTGGAACTTATGCCTGGCCTCTAATTTTGTATTAACAACCTCTCCCTGCCTCTGTCCTGACCTCCCCAGCTTCTGGTAACCACTATTCCACCCTCCGCTCCTTTTCTTGATTTGTTTTGTTCTGAGACAAGGTCTCACTGTGTAGCCCAGGCTGCCCTTGAACCACAGCGAGCCTCCTGCCTCAGCCTCCCAAGTGCGGGGATTACACCACAGCCAGAATACCTTCTACTTCTGTGATCAACCTCTTTAACTTACAAATAAGAGAGAAGAAGGGGACATTTGTCTTTCCATGCCTGGCTTATTTCACTTAACAATGTCCTCCAAACTCATCCATGCTGCCGCAAATGTGAAGGTTTTATTATTTCATGGGTGACTACAAATATTAGTTTTAGACCCAAGTATCAGCTGCATTTTCTTGCTTTTCACAGTGATTCCGTATTTGATTTTCTTGAGTCTTCCAGGTCTGCCACCACACCATCTACCAAGTATACCTGTTTTCATCTCATCTCTGAGATTTGCCCCTAATCTCTTTCTTTCTTTTTTTTTTTTTTTTTTTTTTTGGTACCGGCGATTGAACTCAGGACCTTGTGCTTGCAATTTCTTTTACTTTACTGCTCAGAGACAGCAGGCGCGCCTTCCCTCTCCATGTCAGCAGCATGGCTCCAGGGTGGCCCTGGCCCTTGTGGTACCAGCAGTAGCATCCATGCTTGAACAGGGGCCCTTGGTGACTCCACTAGTTCTACTAGAGAAGTTTGGGTGCAGTTAGGTTTTCATTTTCCTTTAAAGGAGAAAAACATGTTTTATTTTGTTTTGTTTTGAATTCCAGATTTGGAGCCATCATATGCAGCTAAGAGTTTAGCTATACAAAAGAGCTTTTATAAAATTAATCTTCACAGAAGGAATGCGCACCGGAGAAGCCAATCCTGTCCCGCTAACAGAATGTGTGGAGGTGAGTCTGAAAGATCCCAAGGCCCTGGAGGGAGGAATCTCGGCCGAGAGGGGAACTCCAGCCAGGCGGCAGCTAAGTCCCGCTGGGAGGGTCGCCCAGCCTCTCGGCCGCACAGGGAGAACGCCTACGAGTGCACCGACTGCGGGAAGGGCTTCAGCCGCAGCTACCAGTTGAGCCAGCACCAGAAGATCCACACGGGCGAGAAGCCCTACGAGTGCAAGGACTG